ACGGACGCTAGAAAGACACAACGTTAAGCCTATCTACAAGCCCACAAGAACAATTCAGCAAAGTCTAAGATCGGCCAAGGATCCTAGGGCACCTCTTGAATCGGCTGGCGTCTATAGAATTCCCTGCTCTTGTGGATCTGTCTATGTAGGAACAACCAAACGCTCTATCAACACCAGGGTCAAAGAGCACAAAAGAAACTGTCAGCAAGGACAAATAGATAGATTAGCAATCGCCAAACACGTGCTTACACAAACAAACCATGTCATTCGTTTCGATCAGACTCAAGCATTGGATAGAACCAAACATTTCTTCACCAGGCTCCACAGAGAAGCCATAGAGATACAGAAACACCACAACAACTTCAACAGAAGAGAAGAGGGCATGAACCTCAACAAAAGCTGGTTGCCAGTTCTCCGAAAAACAAAGACCCTTCCTTTCCGAGAACGAGACAAGAAAAACACCGTAAGTCAGGCCACGCCCACAACCCTGGATATAAATAACGCAGTTCCCTCAACGTCGAATTCAGTCATCGGAGAAACACGGAAGAGAAAACTTCGTCCTCTACCACACTGCCTCTGAAGATCTCTACCGCAGCAGTAGACGAAACGTTAGGTAGAAATACTAATGGACCACGGCATCATAGCCCGTAAAAAACTTTTTTACTAAACTTTATAACTACCATTAACTTGGTTTTCTTAAAGTTAATTTTTAGTCTGTATTCATTACATCGATCATTTAGTTTTTCTTAAAGGTGTTGTGTGTTTTCAAGATTGCTCGTTAACAAGACGGTGTTCCCATTTATAACTATTCCCACTAACTCATCTTCTAAAGTTTCCCTAAAAAAAGCTTCGCAATATAGGTCAAAAAGAAGCGGCGATAGGATGCAACCTTGTCTTACACCACAACGAGTCTTCATTTCTTCTGTTGGTTGGTTTTCTATCATTGTCTTAGTTTTTGGTCCGATAATAGGTTAATAATTATTTTAACGTCGTCCGAGTCAATGTTTTTGCTAACGAGTAACTTGTCATGTTTAAATTTGTTAAAGGCTTTTTCGAAATCGATGTAACATGCATACACCTCTTGAATTATATCGAGACATCGGTAGAGAAGAACGTTAATCCCAAAAAGCGCCTCTCGTGTTCCAAGTCCTTCGCGGAATCCAGACCGCGTCGCGTATTGCTTATGTGTTCACCGAGTCTTCTGAAAATTCTTTTGTGGATGATCTTTAAGAACAACTTCAAGGTGTTGCTCATAAATGCGATCGTTCGGTAATCTGAGCATTTTTTTGAATTTGGCTTGTTGGATATGAGCACAAAAGTGGATGATAACCATTGTTTGGGAATATCTCCCTTATCATTAAAAACGTCCAGCAGAATATCAATTAAATCATCATCAAAAAGTTTGATAAGCTCTATGGGTATCTGATCAGGACCAGCAGCTTCACCGGGTTTCATAATTTCCAAGGCATATATTGTTTCTGATCTTAATATTTTTAAGTGCATATTGCTTGATTCTAAAACCGGTTTTAGAGGTCTTCCATCATCGAATAGTTCCGAAGAGTATATGCTTTCCACCTTTTAATTTTGTCACACACGTCAATTATTATACGCCTGTTTGTATCCTTGATAATAATACTCTTGACCCGGTTGCATTCAGCCATTTCCTTTATCTTTTTGTGCATGTGAAAGCTGTCATATTTCTTTTCTAGTAGTTCTATTTCCTCACATTGAGCTACTAGGTATTCTTCTTTTGCTTCCTCAATTTTTCTATTTACTGCTTTATGTAGTGTCCTGTAATCATCTTTAATGCCTTTGCTCTTTCTCCTTTCTTCCATAAGACCAAGAATTTCTGATGTTATCCAAGGTGTTTTCTTGGTTCTTTTGCTTGTTGGATGTTTTTGTTTCTAGCCCTGTTTGTAATTGCTTCCATTTCCACTTCCACTAACTTCTTTCAATGTATTAATGTCTCTCATACATTCGTTGGCCTCCTTAACTCTGTCATGGATTCTAGAATTTTTCATGAGTTTTATGTTAGTTGTTGAGACATTTTGTTAGTTTTTTCATCTTTATATTAAGTTTTTCTTATAGCGGTTGGTAATACTGTCTGACTGTATTTCCTGCAGGGAATTTCCAGGTGTATAATCTACGACCTGGTAATTTGAAGAAGGTATTTGTTATCATAAGATCTCCAAGTTGACAGGATTCTACCAGTCGATCCCCCCATTATTCCTTTCTACCAAGCCAAAACTCCCTGCGTGTGCTTCGACCTTGACTGCCTACTTTGGCGTTGAAATCTCCAATAACTACTGTGATATTTATTACTTTTTATGCTTCTGAAGATAGCATCAAGTTCATCATAAAATTCTTCAACTTCGTCGTCCTCTTCATCCGCTAGTGGTGCATAGGCCTGTTCATATTTCCTATATGTGTTGTAAGTTAAAGCATCATGACTGAAGAATCAGAATATTCGCAATCAGTATTTAGGAAAATAACACAATCATTAAAAAACTCTCTTAAAAGCTGCAAATTTTTTTGAGTTGTGTGCTCACGAGCACCATCTTGTTGGAAATACACTTTTATTAGTTCATCGTCATGTAATAAAACGGGTTATAATTTCTTCTCGGTATCGCTCTATACTTAAAATTCAATTGGAAAAAGTCGGTTCAATTAGAAGTTGTCTTCAAATTCCAAACCAAACTCCAATCTTTTCGGAATAAAGCTGCGCTTCTCTAAATTCATGAGAGTTTTCTGCTGGCAAACTCCGCATATCTTGGGAGTTTACGTATCCTGAGAGATAGAAACATGTCTCGTCAGTAACAAAAAAAAAAAACATTTATCTAGGAGGTCGTCATCAAATCCTAAAAATCTTCCACGAATTTGAACTCTGCGGAGCAAATCTGGAAATCTCAGCTCTTGCACACAAGTCACTCGGTATGGATAATAATGCAAATCCTTTCTTGAAATTGTGTGACAAGTTCCACTAGATAAATTAACTTGTAACTGAGAAATTGAAAGTTTTGGAGTTTCCTGCATTAGGTTCCTCGCCTGTTCAATGACTTCCGGGGTTCGATTTGATGGCCTTGCGCTTTCCTCCTTCCTTTTTACACTCCCGAAATAACCCAACGGAGTGAGTTACTTCCTGATAAAATTGTTGGAAGATTACCTACTCCATAACGATTAGGAAAAGTATAGGCTACAGAGTATAAGTGCCCATTCTCCATTTACTTTCTGACCATTTCCACTATTCAGTTTTTTTGCTAGATCTAGGTTGATCTTGATTTGAATGCCCACAATACCGATAGCCACAGCAAAGTGACATAATAAAACGCGTGAAATTGCTCCAGTTATTGTCCTTCATGCAAACAAAGAAATGTGCAGCGCGAAGTTTACCTCAAAATGTATGTTGAGTGTGATCTACATTTTGTGCTATTAGGGTCGTCAATTTCTATAGTCTGTTTACCAAAAAAGAAAAACAGTTTAACGACGAGTTTTGCAACAACATCTGAAATATTTTACAAGATCTGCTATCTACCATTCTAACTTGGTGCCTTTATACATTCTGTAATAATGGTTTTACTTCTGCAATAAAACGATAACAGTAATAGGACAATCTCCGACAAAGATAGCAAAATATACGATGTAAAATGAATTTTAACTACGCACCTAAAGCTAGTTATTGTCTTGTTCTCAATTTCTGACTTTAGTGTTATTCTATTGTCATTTTTCTTTTTACATTTGCTGAGCTATCATGACGACTAGAATATAGCTACATGAGCCGTTTTCAAAATGTGTTGCGTATCCAGTTGCTGTCACTTAAAGCACAAGTTCTGTTTTGCTGTGCGTTATTCCGCATTGTGAACGACAAGATGGCGAGGACAAATTAGCGTTAATGCATTTCCAGGTCCTAAATTATTCTCTTGTTTGTGTTAAAATAGCAGAAACGTATTTATATTATATTTCTCTGCATAAAATATCAGAGTTTATTAAAACATGCAACCGAAATGTTAATATCAAATACACAATTTGAAATTTAGATCTATGTTTTTTTAATATCAAAACTCAGTTGCATTAGACTTTTGCCATAACTCTGGCTTCATTATTAATTTTTGACCAACCTCCCGAAAGAGTCAAAATTCAAAAGGCATTTTGACGTCAACAAATTATTTCAGAGGAACGGAGCGGCGACTTTTATGAATATTTTTTTAATCCGGTGAATTTAATATTACATATGACCAGTATTTATCATCTTTTTATGAAGTGCTACGCAATATAAATGTCGGAGTACTCCATAAAATGTTTGGCAAAGTTCATGAAGAGCTTTTGGTATTTGACAAGGGGACTGTGCATATTTAAATGTTGCGTTATTTTTCCCCTCTGAGTTTTAAAAAATTAATTTTCAATTTTGCTCCGCCTGATTCAAAGAGACTTTAAGGGTTAACTGAGAGATTATTTCCTAATTGGAAAAAATAAAGCATCAAACAAAAAATAATAATCTTGACTCATTTCAAACTATTCACGCGACAAACAATAACTATCAAAAGGCGCTAATTGCAGCTGCGGATTTGACTTACAAGTAGGACTATTAAAAATGCGGTCTTTCAGAGATAACGAGCCCTTTATATGCACCGCAAAATGGCACAAAAGTCAGCACCCCTTTGCAAGTTTAAATATTCTCACCACGTTAGAAACGGTAACACGCAACTGCATGTAGTGTTTTGTAGCTTTTCATTAGATTTATTTTGTGCAATTTCGAATAGGAGTTCTTGAAAGACTCGTACCCAATGCACTGTGGACTGATTATGGTAATTTAGGCTAATCATTATTTATGGACAATCTTATAAATTGAAGCAAAAATATTGTGTCACAGATATCAAATTAAATAATCAAAATAATAAAGTTTAATAAAATAAATTGGAAAAACGTTCCAGATAAGAGTTTTAATTTTTTCTACTACTAATTCCTTATTTTATTCAATTCAATGATTTTTCTTTTCTCAACAGACAAGCGGTGGAGCTATGGAAGAGCAAAGAAGGATGCGAGATTACCTGAGAAAAATGGAAAGAGACGGTGTACAAAGAGTGAAAATGTTTTTAGTTATAACAGCCGCTTACGTCCTTTTTTGGGGACCCTTATTCATAGTCACCCTCATCAACCATCCAATTGTCGGGAGCAACCCTTTGGGACACGAGGTAAGAATCTATTATAAAACAACATGAGTGTGTATATTCTTTCTTTTCACAAAACAAACTGTTACAACTACAAGTTGACAACAGACACAAACTGTTACATTTTGATCCTCGTAGAAAATTAATCATGTTTATTACTCAGACTTATAAGAGAAAATCATTATTTATAGCAATAGTTGTAATCAATTTTAGCTAAATATAGAATCCTACAAGAAAATAGCCTGAACTTAATATTTTCGGAAATGAAAAGTTGTATGCAAGTGAAATTTCAGGTTGCCTCTCTCAAGTAAGATAAAATTTGAAATAAATGAAAAACCAAACATTTCTAGGGTATCATGGTCGCCATATTGGCTGCAGCAGTGTTCATTACAATAAAAATCGATTTTTTTTTCGTCTTCTGGTGGAAACGTCTTCCATTCTTCCCTGTATTGGGATGGTTGTTTCCAACGTCTTTTTGCCTTTATCATTGAAATTGAAATTGAAAGAGGGAGAGTCACTTGACAAACATAGTGTGGCGCGTTTGCCAGCATGTACAGAATCTAACTAATCTAGAAAATACTGCTTTATTCGGGCAAAAACACTATCGCGTTTATTCTGGCCGGTATTAGTTAGTATTTTTAATTTTAAGAATGACTGTGATATGATTTAGATAGTGATTATTGTTGAGAGTTGTAAGAAGTTTAGTTGTTTGAGTTAATTAGTGAAGTAATTAGTGTCAGAGTGTGTAGTAATCACATACATATACCGGGTGCCCACGAGATTACTTTCCGGCTGCAATTTTTTTATTTGTTCATTGATATCAACGAAACTTGGTAGGCTTGATATTCTAACGAAATGCCATTTTTGTGCATTCATGACAAGTTTTCCTGACTTCCGGTTTCACCGGAAATTAATGAAACCTTCGATTTTCAAATGGCACACCCTGTATATTTTTTGTTTTTTGGATTCTACAGATCGTTTTACGTCCTAATGTACCACTTTTAAATCGAACTTTGTCCAAATTTCGTTTTCAAATTAAATTTTGATTAGAAAAAAAATAATAACCTACATAAATAAAACAAAAATATTTGAACAAAAATTGAGAAAAATGTCGTAGTGTATTATATCGTTGGATTCGCTTCAAAATACTGCATTTAATAATGTTATGAAAGTGAAATGTTCCTATTCTAGTTTTTGAGCTAGGGCAAAAATACTAAAATAATGATGTTTACAGGCCTCTATCAAGAAAGTTTCCAATGATAAAATTCAGTTTGTATTTTTCTGGAACTAAGTAAATAGGACGGCGGCCAAGCGCGCAAAAGCCTTCGTTTTAAGGAGCAACCCGGTATTGAGGTATAATTTATTAAGACTAGTACCAGATGATTCAGCATATTTTTCTGCATATAAAATGAAAATGGACGACTTTTTGCATTGGTCGTGAGCTAAGTTAGGAGCAAAAAACTAAAAATATACGGAAACTAAAATTTCCAACTTTAACCTCGTATAACTTCTAAACCGCTTGAGATAATAAAATTATGTTTGCTCTAGATTCTAGACAAATATATTTTCTTTAATATGGTGTATATATTGTTCGAAAAATATTAAAGTAGGGCTCAAAAAATCAGTTATTTCGTAGGCACGGCGCGAATGAGTAAAATATATGTCTGCTTTAACCTGCGATAACTCCTTTATATATTGGAGTGTTAACTCAAATTTTTGCTCAAAAACTGGAAAAATTAATTGGCTTTCTTTCGTCTCAATTATATACCGACCTATTGTCAATAATAAACTAACTGGAGCCGTTTTAACACAACAAAGGGCGGTCTGGCGGCAGAAGTTGCGTGGCTCCCCTCTCATTCCCCCTACCCGCTGACAACCACCGGCATGAATTAAAAAACTACGTGTGATGCCGTAGACCGCATGCAATGATATGACATCAATTTTGCTTGTTTATGGAACTTTGTGTTCTATTTTAAGTCTAGTTTATCGGGTTCTGCTTGCATCAGGAGTTATAGCAGTAAGATGATATTATCAGTAACTAGTAACACAAAAAGTTAACTGGAAAATATCCATAATTTTTAGGAAACTTGTAAGTACGAATGCAATTTAGTTAAAAAAGAGAACGAGTACACGTCAAAACTTTAAAAATTAATTAAATAGGTACCTAGGTGGTTGTTCTGTGAGCCGATAATACACAGTAAAAAAAAATCCCGTGTATAATTACACGACAAAGTGGTAAACACGTTGTGTGTAAAAACTATACACCATTGTTCGTAAAGTGCCGTCCACTTAACCAACAGTATTTTGGTAAACTGATATCTTACACAATACAGTGTTGAATCAAAGTTATATCCTGGTTTCGTGTTACTCTCATGACAATGTGTAATTTTTTACACCATTCTCATTAAATGAACACCAAAAATGTTTAAATTTACACGGTAGACGAACGTTTATACACCCAATAGTGTGTCGGGTCAAGCCCTCCGTCCTCTACCTTCTTTTGTGTGCCAGTGATCAGTTCCAAGCGTGCTGATGCGCTGATGGGATGGTTGATGTTCGTTTGTCGTTGTCTACAATAAAAATCATTAGAAACCAAAACCAAAGTCTCCAAAACTAAAGAGTTACGCCATAAATGAACAGTTTTTTAATGTGTTTTGTATGATTTTTGGAAAAGTCGCACATTTTCACGTCTGGTTGAAAATATTTGATCCGATAGCTATTTTTATTTTATTTTAATGTTTATCCTCAATAATTTTAGTTTTACCAGTTTAATTTAATAGGTTTGTGAGGAATGGTGATTACCTATACCTCCCATTAAATTAAATAGGTTAAGCTGAAAAAGTTAAGGATGAAACATCAGAAAATAAAATAAAATGAAAATGACTATCGAAATATCAAATATTTTCAACAGACTAGTCGTAAAAAATGCGACTTTCCAAAAAAATCATACAAAAAACAGGATGTTCCATCCTGTACACTATTCGGTGTATTCTATTTAACACTGATTTGTGTAAATACAACACGCATATTTGGAAATACATACACTGTTGTGTGTATATTTAATATAACTTAGTGTAAAAGTTACATGATATGGTGTATTATGTTTAACACCGTTTTGTGTAAATTCTTCACGCAAATTCTCGTCAAATTTACCAAAAACCTTGGTGTTAAATATACACAAATTGGTGTGGCCTTATATAGACCACTTTTCGTGTAAAATTTTGCATGATTTTTTTTACTGTGTAAAGTTATCGGTATCTATTATCCCGTAATTTCAAGTGTGATTGGTCTAAGTGAGCATCTACTACTTGTCCAATTATTTGTTATATTTTACAGATTTCTCTTTTACACTTCACGTAATTTTTTTCATTTTGTAGGTAGACGGACTAACATTGACGTCATGGATAATTGTGTTTTATGTTGCAAAACATTTTCGGTGGAACCACCTTGTGGTCCTTGTATTAGAAAGCCAACAAAACGGAGCTACGCAACAATTTTTTCGGCAGCAGGGTATTACCCCCTGTACCTACCTGTACTCCTGTACTAATAGATATTAAGTTTTTCTTTTGATTGGTGCCGCTTTTACCACAAATCAAGCAGTCAGCTTCTATATTAAACTTCTCCTTACCACTACGACCGCTACTGCATCATGGAAATACTTTGATTATGTTTGGGTTATTTAATTTCACTACTTATAAATATTATTTTTGCTGCAAAAAGATCTTCTGCAACTTATATGATATCTGAATATTTAGGGAATTTGTTCCAATTTTAATTGAGAAACGGTTAGATGTATTTCTAAAATCGTCAAAAGTTATTGAGAATAGTTAAATGTTATTCAGAATGCGTTAATTATGATTGTCAATAGTCATATGTAATTGAGAAACCGTCAAATGTAATTGAGAAAACGTTAAATGTAATTGTAAATGCGGTAATTGTATTTCAGAAAACATCAAATGAAATTCAGAATAGGTCAAAAGAAATTAAGATCATGCAAAATTCGAAACTGTGGAAAATAATTAAGCAATCCATATCCGATATCCCAGAAATTTTCACGAATTTGTGGCACCTCGTATATAAAATTTTCGAATCTTCATGATCTCAACTTTATTTTACCTATTCTGAATGTTATTTGATACTTTCTGAATAACATTTAACATTTTTTCAATTACATTTGCCCATCCTCGAATAGAATTAACGCATTTTCAATTACATTTGACTATTTTCAATTACTTTTGACGATTTCTGAAATACATCTAACCGTTTCTCAATTAAAATATAATGAAAGTATTTCCATGAAGCAGCGGTCGTAGTAGTAAGGAGGAGTTTATTATAAAAGCTGACTGCTTAATTTGTGGTAAAAGCGGCACCAATAAACAAAAAACTTAATATCTATTAGTACAGGTACAGCAGGGAGTAGTACCCTGCTGCAGAAAAAATTGTCGCGTAGCTCTGTTTTGTTAGCTTTCTAACACAACGACCACAAGGTGATTCCGCCGAAAATGGTTTGCAACATAAAACATAATTATCCATGACGTCAATGTTAGTCCGTCTAAAAAATGAAAAAAATCACGTGAAGCGTAAAAGAAAGATCTGTCAAATATAACAATTAATTGATTTGGGCAAGTGGTACCTAGATGCTCACTTACTTAGACCAATCACACTTATTGAAATTACGGGATAATAGATACTAATAACTTATTATCGGCTCACAGAACAACCACCTATCTATCTATTTAATTAATTTTTAAAGTTTTGACGTGCACCCGTTCTCTTTTTTAGCTTAATTGCATTCGTACTTACAAGTTTCCCAAAAGTTATGGATATTTTCCAGTTAACTTTTTGTGTTACTAGTTACTGATAATATAATCTTACCTGTGCTATGACTCCTGATGTAAGCAGAACACGATAAACTAGACTTTTTAAAATAGAACACAAAGTTCCATAAACAAGCAAAATTGACTCTCATATCATTGCATGCAGTCTACGGCATCACACGTAGTTTTTTAATTCATGCCACTGGT